CAAGTTAAGCAGTAGGTAGGCATAACAATAAATTTTCAACTGCTGGTGAGGGATGCGTGTGATCCGTCATATATAAAAGCTATTTATATATAAAAGCCCGCCCACAACTGATGCACAAATTGTATGGGAGGTGACTAGTCACTGTTTTGTTTACCTAATCTCTAACAAAGTAACAATGGACGTTGACGTGAACTTGCAACAGAAGTGTGGGTCGTTCTCCGAGTGGTGGCGACCCGTGTTAGGGCTCCCCTTTTCAGGCCAACTTGAGGTTCTTTCACCCTTTGGTTTTCTGTCTTAAGGGGTATTTAAACCCATGTTTTAGAAACTTAAAGGGTAAAAGTAAATTATTTCCTAACTAGCTGGGTACCCTGTTCGATGAACGAACTTTTAAATTGTCAAGTCATTGTGGGTTAAGTGAGCTCAGCAAGTGAATGGAAGTCTTGAAATTTATGTCTTGAACACTACATTCAACTGCATTGAAATGCTAGAACCCTGTGTGGACGAAACAAAGCGTTTTGGAAAAATCGGGGAAAGCAGTTTGCGTGGATTTTTAAAAGTCAAGTCCTAGCCACATGGATGCTGTGGACGCCTGCAAAGTTTCAAAGGTGTGGGTTAGATAATAAGGGGGGAGTTTGTGCACAAAGCCTCCCAAGTCCACTTAATATATATATATATGTAGATTTTACATAGCTGCCACTTTCCCGCTAAATAGCGGAAACTCCGCTTCATCTAGATTTTTCCCGCTACTTTCCTCCTTCCTCCGCTGGACTGCACTCGGTCGCAAACTGCGATACTTTTTTACACGCGGAAAACTCCGAACCGGGAGAGAGACGAAAACGCAGCTTGCGCATGTCCGCCCGTAGCTTTCTACTTCCGTTCTTCTAGGCCTAGCGCTAGTTTCACTTTGTTTATTGTGGAGCAACACAGTGTCAATCGGGCATCGGGACGCTGGCGCGCCGAGTTGTCATTGAAAACAGCGGAAGTTCGGGAGAAATTGATGCAGAATGCAAAAATAAAAGGAGCTGGAATGAGAAAGAAGCAGCCGGTGTGCGACTCGAAAAGTTCATTAGAAAATTGAACAAACCGCTTGCTGCACTTTTCGTTTGGTGCGATAAAGAAATTGCGGCCCGCGGCACTCCTGTACAATTGCGGTCCCGTTTGTTTACATGACGGCTATTGTGGCTGTTGAAGTGAATCTAGATCTAGATAATCTATCTCTAGATATAATCTAGATTTACACATATTTAGATATCTAGATTCTAGATCTAGATTAGATTGCCTAGGCTATTATTTTAATTCAGTTTAGATCTAGATCTACACACTACAGGGGCACTGCTACTAAGTTAAGTGCAAATGGGACCGCAATTGTACAGAAGTGCTCAGTACAGCGGCAAAGGTGATACCTCCCTGATCCAATACTGCGCGTGCTCTACATCGATGTACAAGTTTAAAGTGAAAGAAATCTTTTTATAAGACACCAGCTGGCAACAAACACTGGATTTTTAGTCACCAAGTTCAAACTGTGTCAAATTGACTCAAATTAGTCAACTTAGTTCCTTTGTTGTTGTTGTTGTTGTGTGTGTGTGTGAGTGTGGTAGCCTATCCGTTCGAAATGTTCGGAGCCCCGAAGAGCGTGCTCTTCGCCAGGGCCACCGCCTCCCTTGGGTAGTGGGTGAGGCAGTCCAACCTCCCTGAATCCTCCCCAAGGAGATGCCACCGCTGGGCCTCCGTGGCGTGGCATCTCTGCAGCCAGTGCTCCAAATTTTGGGGCTCCTCGCTGCACAATGGACAGATTGGGTCCGATGTTTTGTTTATTTTATTTTTGTAGGCCCGCAGCCCAGAGAAGTGACCGGTCCTGATTTTTGCCAGTAGTGACTGGTCACTGTGGGACATAATACCTCTCGTTTTAAGGAAAATGCCCTGTATACTTCCTTCGTCCGCGTGTGGCATATAGGGGGGGTCTTTTGTAATTAGTTTTATCTGGGCGCACGCACTTTCATAAGTAATTTGGCGGCCTGGACCCGGCAGTGTTGTTGTTGTTGTTACCTATGGTTAACAAATATGACAGTTTTCCCTTCCAAAACCATAAGCTAGATTTTCCGGTATGTTGCCTCTGGATCTCACTGGTTTTACTCCGGCCTTCAGAGAGCGCGCGTACGCTTTCGCATGAATTTCCTCCTTTTTTGAAATTCCTGAGTGGCAGCTATGATTTTATAGAGTAAGAACTTTTGCATGTGAACATTTAACTCACAACATTCACACAGACACACACAGAGTGACCAAGACTATGATTGAATATTAACGATTTTTAATTAACTTAGGTTTCATTGTAACAGCAAGAAATGAATGAGTAATATTGACTAAAATGTAAAAAAAATCGGGATCAATGACAAATCACCAAGGTCACTACCAAACTGACTTTAAAAAATTCCAGGGGGTGTCCATACACACATATATATATATATATATATAAAATAATATATCCATGTATATTCCCTCTTTGTGCGTCTCAATTGAAACAGTTATCAGGCATTCATTGGAGACTTCTGAGTGGAGACAAAAGCGAAAGTAGATCTTGAGAATGTCCCAAGTCGGATTGCCAAACCAATACTACCCATTATAGTTGAAATAACACGTGCGAGCAAAGATCCAACAGGACAAGATATCTACTAAATTCGGCATCAACATTTTGGAAAATACTGCTCTGAGTTTCTGCTACATGTAACAAAAAGTTTAACGAGTGCTTTCCACTACAGAAAAGAAGGCAGAGTAAGATTTTAGAAAAATTCGGCACAACCAACGGAACAAAAAAAAATATCGGGATACACGCGATCAAAACTGGGAAAATCGAAATGCTTCAAATTTTGGGCAAAAAATCTGGATATCCCGATTAAATCGGGATGAGTGGCAGGTTTGGAAAATAAACTAATTCGTTATTCTTCAGAGCCATCCCAGTCTTTCGATGGTGGACAATTCATGTTACTAGATCTAGTGTGTTTAAAGAAGGACGGGGGTTTACAATCTCACGGCAGGGGTAAACTCAAGGAACGACACCGGCAAATAAAATGCAAGCAACCAGAATGTGGGCGGAGCTCTCTGCTCAAGCAAGCCGGTGTCGCCGGAAACTGTGCGCCGCTGATGTAGATTCTAGGTTGACTGCTTCTGACACAGAGTCACAGACAAAAGGTGACTGCGGTGTCATGTGTGTGGGTGTGTTGTTAAATCATTGACTCAGTTTTGGGGTAGAGAAGGGGGGAAATTGATGAATGCCAGACGCACACCACCTACGTTTTAAAGCGTATGCAAACCCTGAAAGGAAATTTTAAAGAGTAACGCTCACGCACCTCCAAAACTTAAAGGGGGCAGTTTGCAGGTTTAATGCGTAATATACGCACATCTCTGTGCATAAAGGGGAGCCCTGTGTGTGTTTGTTTTACCTTGGCACTCGGCCTTCATCGTCTTACATAATATTTAGTTTATTTTACCTTTGCCCAAAATCAGCAACAAAAAGAAAGCTAACCAAAAAACAAATCAAGAAAACAAACGCAAAAAACCCTTCTTACACCATCCACACCCCTTTTTCAAAAGAAAACAAAAACCCTTTTGAATTAGCCTTAGGGCAGTCTAAAGCCTGAGATTAACTCCAGTTTGGATATCAGAAGAGAATGGTTTGCTTTCTTCATTTTGATCTGTCCTGCCTTAAATTGCCACCTGTGTTATATGGCCACTTTTTCCCTTGACAATGGGTGGTCGTTTTACACAGGTTTGACTGTGGTTTAAAAATGTTATTTTGTTAAGGTGTTTTTACTCCCCTGTCAACACAATTTACATAGTTTAGGAGGTGGGCTTCTGACCCTACCTGTCAGGGCCGACCCGGGCTTGCTGAGAGTGAGAGGAATACATCATCCTGGCAAAAAGATTGAGATACTCGATAAGAATTTCTTCCCACTCAGGAAAATTGAATTCGGGTCTCCTTCCTGGGTGCAAGAGTGAAGTGCCTGACTGCTACACCACAGATGCCTGTCTTTGACTGACTGTCAACAACTTGAGCAATATAAGATAGGGTAGATGTTGAAAATGTGTGTGTATGTAAATATCATAACAATGTGAGGGCCTTTTACCTTTACCATGGTGGTAACATTTATAAATGAGATATTTATTGCTTGAATAGCCATGATTGTTTTGAATTTAAGAAGAAGATTTTTTTTTTTACCTCTGATTGATGGGCCATTCTGGCTACCGAAAATATGTTTTGACTTACATAGGATAGATATGCTTCAACTTTTGGCAACAGCTTTTTACTTTTTTGTCTTAGGATGTACAGCGACATACAGCATCATGCCTGTTTCTCATAGGACTTTGCAAGGGTAAGTCATGCCTGTCTTGTTAAAGGTCAACAGTGTTGTAAACGTAATAAATCTTCTCTTTTCTTTGTTTTTTTTTGGTACCAAACTTAACCAATTTACTTTTGAAAATATGTGTCAAGATGCGGTGGAATCAGACACTCGTAAATTTTTGGGCATATTAAAATTTCAACACTCACGTGACCTATCTGTATGGCATTACATTTCAACGAAAACATGTTTTATTTTGTCAATTTCTAATTTTGCTCTTTGCCGTACATTCTTAATGCCTGAAAGGACCTTTTCATACTTGACATGTTTATAATTGAATTATCTGGTTGGGGTTTAATAATTCTTGATGAGTACATTTATTGTTTTTTTTGTTTTTTTTAACCTTTTTGTGCAAAAGCAGTGCTCCTCGAGACCCCAGTCTAAATGACAGTATCCGCCGTCTCGACCAGCTGACAGTACTAGGTTGTCTTCCCAAGTCTTATTGTGACAGAAACCTGGTTTCCAATCTCTGCCCGACTCACATTGTTTACAGTAAAACACCAGAGAAACTGTCCACATTGATCAAAGAGCTGTTTCTCAGTCGGTCTTGTGCAGTAAGTAATGTCATGTATATTTATAGGGCTGTCAGGTGTTCCCAAATTTACAGAATAATCCCTCGTTCTGCACCTGTGTCCTTCAGTGTCTTACAAGTGATCGCTGTGCACATGAACTGTATTTTCTATGTTCTCTTCTGGAAAAAACCATGATGTACTCTTAATAATTTCCCCCATTTAGGCTTTGTGTACTTGGTAGCTTAATGCATTTATATGAATGTCATTTAGTAACAAAGATTTTTCTCTAGAATAAGAAACGACAGAAGTTCATGGAAAGAAAATAGCCAATACACCAGGAAATAAACCCCTGAAGATGTGAATTTAGTTGACAAGTGAGTGTCAGTGTTGTCATGTCACCAGATGGTGCCTCAATGTCACTTGTGAGTGCATGTTCAAAGGAAATGCCTGACATTTTAGCTCTGAAGGGTTCTAGAAGTGTGCTTTTTTGTTTTACTTTATGTATACATGTATTGTAATCATTTATGTTTCTTGATTTACATGACATCATTGACACTGAATTGATCTTGGTCCAAAATTTCCATCTATATTTGAATCATTTATCCCAAGAGAAAATTTTTTGGTCTTTCATTCTTCCAATTTTCTATTTTTCTTTTTCAGATTCTGCGTACACAAACTTCGTGCCTGGCTATATTGAGTCCTTGCACGTCTAATATAGCCTCCTTGTCCCTTGTGGGCACGCAGTATCTTGTGAAAACAAAATTGACCCCTATATTGAGATTAAATGAATCCTTCCAACACCAAGCCAGCAACACCACTGCAGGCAAGTGTATGTTCATTGTTGTTTAATGGAATGTTTCTACTTTCTTCAATATTGCTAAGAAGGCTTTTATGCAGGCCAGACAAAAATATCCTTGGCTGTTGTGCATGAATAAATCCCAGATAGATCCACAATACTTTGTTACAAAATATATATACTTTTCAACTCTTAATGAATAATTATTTATTTCTTACATACTGATTTGTACTATTTGTAATCTTTTTTGTAGAAGTGTGTCTTGTTATACTTTTTCGCCAGACATTTGACTGAACAGATTTTTTATAATGTTATCCAGACCAATATTCTCTCTCTGCAAATTCTGCTGTACATCAGCTAATGTGCTCATTCATAAATCAGGGTGCTTCAAAGTGTTACAGTACTGCCTCAAATCCTTATTGTATTTAATGTTGAAGTCAATATATTTTTATGAACATGATAGTAAATTATCCTTTTTTCCCCTCTTTAAATTTTCATATCGGGTTTCTCATATTTATTCATATGGCACATGTAGACTGCATGCAATCATGTTGAATGGGAGTCATCATAACTCCCTTTCATTTCGGTTATTTATCTTCTAAAATTTAATTTTGGAATTTTTCAATCATGTTTGCACTGCAGCGAAAATAGTCTTAATTTAAGAGAAAAACAAACAAAATGTAGCTACGAAATCAGTTTCTGGGTTTCTCTCTCGGACAAGAAATCAGCTTGAAATATTGATAGGAGTGGATTATTTTACTTTAGTTTTCCTTCCATAAAATTTTCATGATAAACTTGTCTTATGAATGCCTTTTTGACCTTTGAAATCAAGTGACTATTATGAATGACTCTAATTTAATTCATTTTTTGTTCAAAATTCAGCGGCACCAGTGAAGGATGAGCATTTCTTTAGAGCTTGCAGTTTGAATTCCTGGTATGTTCCAGGGAGCGCTGCCCAATTAAGACACACTGTCGACAAAATCAGTGAGAGGTAATGCAACATTGAAATAGATTGTCAGTTATTTTCTGTGCTAAGTAAGTCGTATCATAAATTAAAAAAAAGAAATTGTTATCCACTGTGTTATGGGTGATAAAGAGTTTTGTTGAAGTACAAATGACAAATGTTTAGCTGAAGCCTTGTTGCAAATGGTTCCTCAAATATTCTTTTAATTCTTGACAAAAACACTGTCTGGTAATGATAAAGATAATTATGTTTGGGATGGGAAGTAAAATTAATGTACCTCAAGAAATACCTGGCAGAACTCTGCGTTGCACTTTGTTGCAAGTCTGTAAGCCTGCTGCTGTATGAATAGCTAAGAAAGACCAAGGAGAAAAAAAGAATAAAAGGTTTAAGAGTGCACCTGTTATTTCTTTGACAAAAAAGGTTGTCTTTTTTTTTTTGAGACAAAAAAGTTAGCTTTGCTACCTTCAGTTATATAAGTAGTATTTCATAGCAAACTTATGACTATTTTTGTGTCACAAGTTAATGAGTTTGAAGAGTTTAGTTGGTCTTTTAAGGATGGATTTTTTGAATATTTCAGACTGGATGGTCATGATCAGCCCTGCTCTCAAAAATCAGTTTTGAAGGATCTGCGAAAATTTTATGCTAGAGAAAAGCAGCCGCCTGAACTTGTTCACAACCCAGCACCTGCAGCGACCAGTACACCGCTTTTCGGTGAGCAGAAAATTTTGCTTGATTTGTTGAACAAATGACTCACTCAAATTTTTTCATAGAAAGCACACCAGCCTTGGTAACAAGTTGCACAGCATTTTGTGTCCCTCTAATCTATGTGTTCTTATATATACAATATTTGGCTTTTTTGCAACTATAAGTAACCTCCATGTATGGTTTTCTATGTAAGTGTGTACAATGATTGAAATAACATTTTATTGTAAATGTTTACAATATTCAACCAAGGGCTTTATTGTGTCACAGAAAAAGTTGAACTGTAGACATTTTTAAAGTACTAAAAATTTGTAGGATATATAGAAAATTGTAAGTTGGGCTGCCAGTCGCAGCACAATCTCAGATTTATGCTACTAGCCTCTGGTATCCATTACCCATTACTTCTTCTGCTCTGCAGGACCCACTTCCGCCAGACCAAGCCATTCTGGAGGGTCCGACTCAACCTCTCAGTCACGCAGCAGATTGTCAAGGCTCACCCGTGGACGTTTGATGGTGGATCGAGCAAAGAGCGCCAGTCTACTGATGGCTGATGATTTAGATAGCAGCTTAAGCTCAAAGGCAGAGAGCCCTGACCGGAGAGCAAGTAGTTCATTTGGAGGCTCCTGCGGGTTGCTAGAATTAAGTAGGCCATCATTTTACTATTTGTTTACTCTTTATCCCTGAAATATATCTGACATGCATTGTATCAAGGACAGCCTTCAGCTTGTTGCTACTTGCAAATACTCAAATTTTCTATCAGTTGATACAAATACTTTTCTGCTTTTAATGAAGTCTCAACTGAATTGTTTATTATTTTAAAAAATAAATTAAGTTCTGAAGATGACCAGATTCAACACTTACACCGAAAAATTGATTAATGTTATATGTGTTACTATGTGACATACATGAGATGAGAGCATTTGCATTATGTTTTTTAAATGAAAATGCTGCTCTAACTCTAATGAGTATCATTTATGTTCAAGTACATGTATACAGGATGTTCCTAAAGGCTAGACACACAGAAAATATCTTGAACTTTTTTTTATGACAGCATGGAGTTAGTGCATCGGGCTCACTTGAATATGTTGTTCAGCGCATTGACCTTATCGGTTTAAATGATGCAAACCATATTGGAGATGTTATTTGTTAATACTTCAATTAAATGAAATGTTGGGTAAAAGTCTTCTTAGGGGGGCTCTCGTGGCCTAGAGGTTAAGGTGTTGGTCTCTCATTCAAAGGTCCCGGGTTCGAATCCGGGTAGCAACCGAAACATTTTCTTCTCTAAAATTGTCTCCTTTCACCTCCTTTCTTGTGCTCTCTAGCAATGTTCTGTCATCTGCTTTCATCTCCTCTTTCTGCCCCCACCCCTCACCTCCTTTACCCCCTCTTCTGGGCTCCTGATTCTTTCTGCAGCCTTTCTACTGCTACTCCTTGGCTCCTTACTGATACCCCCCCAGGGCAGTGCCACTGACTGAAGTGTCTTTAGGCCATTCCCAAAGGGGGGACATTTCTCGTTCAAGCATAGTAGAATTGTAAATAGGCTAACTCATGTCACGCTCATAACTGTGCCTGATCTACAACAGGGAACTGCTGCTTTTTCTTTCCTGATCCTTACTATTGTCATTTTCCTCTACTTCTTTTGTGTGTTTGTCACTCTGTGACCTGCTATTTTGGGGTGCCTTGATAGTCGAAGCAGACCTTGTGTTGTTGAAGCTAGAGAGGTGAGCAGTCAAAGCCTGATTCTCTGTAAAGACTTCTCTGTTGACACCCACCCCTTGGCGCTCATATGACCTTATGCAGTTGCGAGCGCCGTAAAACCCTCTACTATTAAAAAACAAAATATCCTTCTTACTGCTGTCTTTCAGCCTCACCCCTGATCTTCTGGTAGGAAAGATCTACACCTAGCCTTCTCGGACACGGGTGAAAAATCTCGGAGGGCCCGTGTACAAGTTGCACACGTTAAAGATCCCTTGGTGGTCTAAAATCGATAAGAGTAGGCTTTGGCCGCCACTCTGGCAAAATTCGAAGCTTCCTACCAACTGAAAAAGTTTAATGTGTCCCGCGCGCTCATGTGACCTTATGCAGTTTCGAGCGCCGTAAAACACTTATTCCCCCCCCCCCCCCAAAAGTCTCCTTGAGCCCTCCTTTGGGAACTTGCTTGACTTACTACACACATTTAGGGTATACACACTCTGTGGGGCCATATTTGAGTTGCTGTGATGTCATGCTCTTTATTTTAGCTGAGATGGTAAACTGTTGATGCTCTTGTGTTGCCTGCTCCTTTTCGTCCTGCTATACTGTTGCCGTTGTCCTTTTCTGCTCCATAGCAGAATTGGGCTGTTATTGTTTTGACTCTCCTCACTAGGTCAAACCACATACTTAAAAAAAAAAAAGTATGTATTAGATTTACCCATAGAACAGTGTCAGTCTAATCATTTTTTGTGATGTTTTATTCTCCTTGACAGATCTCAAAACGGAAGAGGACCTGTCCCAGTACTTGCGGAAACAGTATGACCAGGTGGTAAATGCAGGCATTGCCATGGAGACCACGGTACAAACAATGGTGACGTTGACTTCTCGTCTCATGGCAGACTTGCAGCACAGCAATCCACAGGTGACTGAATATATTGAAATGTCTCTTTTGATCAAAGTCAGGTTTCACTTGTGAAAGTGACATTAATGTTAAATATGTTGTGGATATTGAGAGATAAATCATGTGATTGAAGTTCATAAAGGGCAAATTGTTTTTCTGAGAGCAAGAATTTCAGACTCTCTTGATTCTTGTGGTGCAATGCCAAAATATGACAGATTTCAAAAATAATTTTCAATTTTAATAGTTTCCCAGTGAACTTGTTATTATCGTGAGATTGATGTGGGCCTTTTAAAAAAACGTTTTTTGAAATGTAAATATTTTTTACACATTTAAATAATTCAGTATGCGGGCTTCAATTATGCCTGTTAGGGCCAACCCAGGCTGAGGGGTAGAAAGACTGAATTGTGAAGTGCCTAACTACTACCACACCGATGCTACTGCTGGTGTGTGGTCTTTTTTAATTCATATCTTATCAAGTTGTGTCTTGAAGATAAGAATGAAATTGCTCAAATTAACATTGTTTCTTGTTTTGTTTCCCCCTGTTCAGAAATCAGCTGTTGCTTTCATACGGGAGCATCTTCTTTTGACATCGTTCAAGTTAAAAGAGAAGTACAGTTGCAAAGCTACAGATGAGGCATTGACGGGCAAGCTCTCTGAGTACGAATTTATTGATACTTAGTTCTTTGTTTGATCAAATATGGAGTGCTTTTCTCTTGGTCATTTCCGTTAATACTTTTAGACTTCCAGCCCTTGAACTGAAGCCTTTATAGTTATGTAGCTGCTTTGTATTTGGTTTGATATGTAATCTTATGTCTATGCCAGATGTAGGAACTAAAACCCCCTCCTTCTTTGAAGCTTTTATGATGACCTTTGATGGCTGCAACTGGACACTTCTTAAATTTTTTTCATTTTGCTTAAGCCTAAGCAATATTAGATGTCACCCAGTTTTCAAGTGACACTGTCTTTATTTTGCAAAAAGAAAACGACTTATTAGATGTTTCTTCTTTAAAAAAATTACTTTTGGACAGTCTGTCAGGTTGCTCGAAAAGACATTGTTTGTGTTTTTGATTTCTCTCCTTGCTTAATGCGCTTTTCAGACACTAGATCTAGATTTTTAAATATTATCCCCAAAATCTTCTTTGCTTTTCTATTAAGTATTCAAAGCTGTACTAGATTACAGGTTTCTTTGATGACCACAGGTACAAGCTTCAGATCTTGCTGTTGTTAGAGCTTGAATCTTTGCTGCTGGAGAACAGTGTTGCTGCTCAGGAAGAACTCACTTCAGAGGTTGCACCTTTTTTTTCACTAACTTAATTTAGTGTTCTTATTGTAATAATTTGTCAATTTCTCTTCTTTAAAAGAAAAAATGATTGTCTACGGTTACACAAAAATTGAGTAAAGGTCTTCTTGGAATAATGCTAAGACAGTAAAGGAAACAGAAATGATGAGTAGATTGACTGTAGTTATTTCTAGCAGATTATGCAATATAAGGGTTGAATAGTCTGTATAGAGTTTTAAAGTTTTAGGAAGATCGTTGGAGGTGTAATTAGAAATTCAGTGAATTTTCTTATTTAAAAAAATGTATAATGGTGTTATGTCAATTTCTGCTACAAGAATTCATCTTTGACTAAAGCAGGATTCTCACTCAGCCGGGAAAACAGGGGAAAAACCAGAAATTTCATTTACAGATTTCCCGGTCGGGAAAGCACCATGAAAAATAATGGAAATGAAAGTATGTGAGAGAAAGTCGGGAAATCAAAGGGCTGCCCATCATAATGAATTTGTCAGAATCGTTAGTTTTTAAACTTATTTTAAGAATTCAATTTTATGAAGGTACTATTGTAACACCCTGCCTGTTGTTCCAATTTTAAAAAAATTATTTGCCCTTCAGCTACCTCAACCCATCCCCACCTTCCTGGTGTATAAGTTAGGAAAACAGTCCGATCCCGACAGACTAGGTCACATGCAGCTGTCTAACTATAATGTCCTCTGTGCACAGAACCCTTGTGCCCAGTGCCACTTTGCCCGTAGGAAAACATTAGCTAGGAGTAGGCCAACATTAGTTTGACAAGGTTGTTAAAAAATTCCTGCGCCTTTGCATTGTGGGTGATGGCCTAGGGCAATGAGAGAATAAAAAAAAAAAAGACGAATCAAGTTTGAAACTTTAAACAGTCAGCTGTGGTAGGAGACATGTTGTGTAGTGATGTACATGTGCAATCAGGATCTAAGGCTTTGGATACATCCGGTGGGCTTTTTAATTTTTGCAAGAGTCAAACCGTCAGCCAATAGTACCTCTTCCCCCCCACCCTCTTTTTCTTTTCATACTAAACAACGATGAGCCCTCCAACCTCAAGACCTCTTTCATCATGCCTTTGTTTACGTTACACTTATCCTATAACCCCTGTCCTTGACATTCCAGGAAAAGGTACTATCCATGACTGTGTTAGGATATTTTATCATACCTTTCTCTGCGTTTCTTCTTCCTAACTCTGTCATCTTAAAAAAGTTCATTTTGAAAATGGTTGCAAAATCTCAGAAGAAGACAAGCAGGAAAAAACCTGGAACTTTTTTCTCCTTAATGAGTGGGGACCCTAAAGAGTGGTCATGTGATAGTAATGTAGATAGAATGTTGGGTTAATGTGTAGTTGCTATATGTCATATTTGTATTTTAATCTGTTGCCTATGTCTTTTAGTGTTGGTCTTGTTAGTTAATATGGATTCTTTACAAATTTTTCAGCTTGTCTCCATGCTGCGAGTCGTGTCTTTTTCAATAGGACCTGCTGGTCTTCAGGAGTTCTTAAAGGATAATGTTCTCGCAAAGTACGTGTACTTATTTTTTTCTTTTATATGAAGTCAAGCTCATCTTACCTTTTTTTTTCTTCTAACTGCATGGCTCACTAATTTCTGAAAAAGAAAATTAACTTTGCAAAGGCTTTACAAACACTTTAAGATTGATTGTTTGACTTACTTTTTAAAAAAAGTTATGAACTGGTGTCAAATGAGAAAATTAAACCACTGTCAGCAACATTTTTTTTTACTTCAGTAGCGGTTACTTAAATCGTTCAAAAAAGTTTTATCACTTGTAGATGCTGGTTGAGTTGGTGTGTGCAATGTTAAGTATAATTTTCAAGTGATTTGTTTTCATAATGCTCTTCATTATAACGATGTCACTTTGGTACTCCATCTTCTATGGTAGATGTGTGTGTAGGCCTTATTTAGACATGTGTATCCCCTTTGAAGATTTCAGCTTTGTGATGCTATCATTTTTTTCTTTTTTCAGTTATCATACCAATCTAGCCAAGGTGTTGGTGGATGTCTATGATGAGTTGATGCTCCCGTTGCCGTCTATCCTGGAGAAGTTTGCCTCGCCGAGTGCCCCAAGCAGTGTGTGGGGAGCTGTTCCTTCAGTAGGCGAGGACAGCATGTTGAGTGGACCTGGTTCCTCACAGCCACGATCCAATATGTCTGACCAGGCTTTGAGGAGTCGGTAAAGTCATGGTTTTGATTATATTTTGTCTGCTAATTAAATTTTTTTATTGCTTATTGGTATGAATTACATAGGCTTGTTATTGTCTTGTCTTGTATGAGTAAAAGTGATTAAGCCCAGGAATTGCTGTGAATAAAATGCTTACTGTTATTTGCTTTTTCTGAAGACAGTTTACCAAAAATGTCTTCTCCTTCCTCAGCTGAAAGGAAAGAGAAAATTATTTCCTTCGCTCTGAAATCTGTATTTATTTTGAGCGGAATTAAAGTTGATATATTATAACTAGAAAAGCGAGACATTGAGCAAAAAGTTCTCTAAAATTTGCATTGCTTATGTGCTTCTGTGGTAATTTGATTCATGGCCTAAAATGATATGGAAAAAGCAATTTATCATTTCTTGATAATTAATATTCTCAGTCAGAATAAAAAAGAAGTAGACTATTTCTTTCCATATTTGCGTGGTAGTGAAGACTTTTTCTTTTCATATTTGCATGATAATGCACGGTGTGTAAATTAGTATTTTAAGCTTTAAGCTTTCTTTTTTAATAGCTTCTTGAGGACAAAGAAAACTGTATGATAGTTACATGACCTGTTGAATTTTGATAAATAAAAAAATGAATTCCCTTTTAATTTTCATGATTGCAAATAATTTTTTTTACTGTTTTTGTTCCACTTAGGTCGGGCAAATTGAAAGCACACCCAAGTTTTTCAGATTTTGGACAAAAGAGGCAAATTCTTGTAAAGCCAAAAGTAGCACCCAAAACATCAAAGGTTGGTAATTTTGTTGGTTTATATGTTTGAGTTGATTGAATTAAGACTTTTTCAATTGTGTGCTGACTTAAATGTCGAAGATTTTATCATGAGTATGTGGGTATCTTGTCTGAAAATGTTAGATTATACACATCATAGTTTATATTTTTCCTTATGGCAGCAGTAGTATTTTACTATTTAAACACTTTTTATTTCTCAGTCTGAAAAGAAAAAAGGCTCAAAGGATGTCTCAAAAGCGAAGTCACGAGAATCCAAGAGGAGACCAGGCGGTGAGTGATTGTTCAAAATGTGCTGCATCATGCGTTAGTTTTGAGAAAATTCTCTTGGGTTTTTCAATCTTGGGGTACTATGCGATGCTTGTCTCTGATGCAAAAGTATCTGGTTCAGTGCCAAATTTTTGTGGTCAGGTTTTTTTTTTCTAGGAGTTTTCACACCTATGATCTTAGATTAGATGGGATCATAATACCCAAACAAAAGAAAATCTAAAGTCCTGCAGATATGTTGTTTTTGTTGAATGTAACTTGGAAGTGGAAAGTTGAAGGACGCTTGGTGTGTTAACTGCTCCCGAAAAGTGTGCGACTGAAAAATCCTTTGCAAGTATTGATAAATGGAGACCTATTTGAAAACAGCAGTTATCTTTACATGTGAGACTTTTGTTGCATTCTGAAAGGAAAATGAGTTTCTTATGGTAAAAAAATAACTTGTGGATGGAAAATCCTAGTTGTCTCCCCTTGAAAAGGAATGCAGATGGAGAAGACCATTGTATTGGAAAAAATACTTTCACATCTTTCTGTTCCCTGGTGGTTATTGTCCTTGCAAAGTTCACTTATTTGAATTATTATATGTATAAGACCACAATATAACACTTTTTTAAGATTCTAAGGAATATAGAACACTTGTAGTTGTACTTTTTAAAATTGTTATCTTTATGGACATTTCACATTTATTTTACAAATGTAATTCTTGAACTGATTTTTTCTTCAGTTTGATTTTAATCTGATTTTAAAGTGTTTATAGCTTTTCTTTCTTTATCAAAAATATGAAATAAATGAATGGCTTTTTAATACATACTCTTCACTTCCAACAGTTGTACAAATATCAAATATCGCTTTTGTCTATGTTTTAACCAGTTGACCACGATCGTGCCAAAAAGAATCTGTTCTCGGACACTCCACAACAGTCAAAATTGAAGAGCAGATCAAGATCAAGACACAGAAAACACACTTCATCTTCAGGTATGACTGGTGTGTGTGCTTGACCTGCAAGAACCGATCTTTGACAAGTCACATATGACTCTCACATTCCTCATGAATGACTTTTGTTTTATGTTCTCACGCGATAAATTTTATCATTGTTTAGAATAGGAGGAAGATTTATGTTAAAAGCCAATGCTTTGTCAACTTGTTTGTAATTTGGAACATGTGTAGACTAGCAATGCATAGAAATATCTATTTCTGTTGGCTGAACTGTTGTGAACTGTATAATTTATATGGTTCCCATACCAATTAGATTGAATTTGCTGTGAAGGGGAACATCTGTCAGTTTAACATGCAGCAGTTAGATAGTTTTGGAGTAAGATTAGAAATTTACACAAGCTTCCCAGATAATTGAGATTACCAGTTGATAGGAAAGTTCATGATTGTATTTAACTGACTTTCACACTATCTTCCACAGGCCAGAGTAGATTGTTGGTTCCAGGAACACCTGCTCACAAGCAGACATCGAGCAGGATTCGGGCTCAACAGGAGCGTAGACGACAGAAACACAATGTGAAAACTGATGTGGTTGTTGTAGCGGAATCACCTGTTAAAGGTTTGTGCATGTTTGTGTGAAGTGTGTTTAATTCTACAGGAGAAATCAAGGTTTTCGGTATACAATTGAAGATGGGGGGGTGGGTTCTGCCTTTGACTTATTTCTGAATTGATTGGTTTGCGTGCGTGGTGGAGGTGTATTTTTTTAAGGCCACATTCTACTTCTTAGCATCCAATTCTACAATTATAGTGCTGTCAAAAATTGGTGGCGCAACTTATCCTCAAATATATCTATAACGGGTGAATCAATGTCGCCCATAAGTTCAGTTAGTATCAATTTGTCTTTACTTAATCATATTTTTCCACAACAATTAAGGCTAGACTAAAAAACTTTTCTTCACATATATATATTAAATACTATAAATCTCCGTCATGTCGAAAATATGATTGTTCGCTGCACTTCCCGCTTCTCACACACATTTTGTATACGTATGTGGCCTACGTCAAAGCTCACCAATGACACTCTTTAGTGTTACAAGAAATTAATTTTATACTTAACACTTTTTTGCGCTAAAGGTTCTTATAACATGCCTTCAATAAGCATAATGTAACGATTGGAAAAAAATGACGGACTCGCTCTTAAAAGCGATATTGCCCCAGCTGTAAACTTTTAAAAATCTGTCGAAACCATCGAGTTGGGTTTTTTATTAGTATTTATGAAGGAATTTTCTAGAATATAGTGTACAGATGTTTGAAAAAATATTCAACTATTAAGATAAAATGATATGCGTCGTTGTGCAAAAGCTGGATAATCTGTGTTCAGTAGTTGAGGGGATATTTGGCCATAGGTTGCGCCACGAATTGTTGACCACACTAAAAGGTATTTTTACTTGTTTTTTTCTCATTTTTTCAAAGTATTCCAAACAAGGATAAAAGATATTCAGTTTTGGGAATCATTATCAGTTACATAATCACAGAAATGGCAAATTAGAGTGAAACTGGGCCATCTGAAGGACCATTTTCAAAAGCTATAGTTCATCCATGCTATCTTTGAACTAATTACATATATTTGTAATCTGCACATACATTTTAAGAAAATAACACTAGGTTTTCATGAAATTGTAAATATTAATGATTTCATTACTTTAAGATTACAAAAATAGTCAAAATACCAAAGTAAAAACTCATTAAATATATATTTTATCAAAAATTAGAAAAAGTTAGTCTCATTTTATTTGGAATTGCATTGTGCACTTACCCTCCAAATTTCATGCCTTTGTCTTGAATGGTCATTGAGTTTTTAGCTTTTAACGCCAAGAAATGAACATTTTGAGGAAAGGAGCAAAAACATTTCAAAATTGCTTTAAAGTATTGTATTGGATCACAATGTTACAAACTTTGCAGAGCTGTCTTTTTGAAATAGAGCTTTGGGAGGACTACCATTGCATTTAGCACGTAATTTTCAAGGGAAGTTTCTTAAAACCCCCAAAACATTGTGTTTGGACCCAAACTGGACCTCAAAAACGCATGTGTGGCCTTAAATAGAGTTTTGTGCCTACTACTGTTCCTAATGTGTAGGGTTAGTACGCTCACAATAAACAATGTTGTTGTTGCAGGTCAGATTTTCCTGTCTTTTTACCCTATGCTTTGAGAAGCCCTGATTGTTATAAAGCTTTGAAATGTCTCTCTTGTGACAGCTCTCTTGTCTGTGACAGCCTATGTGACATGTTGATGTTGCCCTTTCAAATTAAGTTGCTACTTATGCCTATTCAAACATCAACTTTCTCATGAATTGATGAGAGTGTAGTTTCTTTTTTTACATGAGTATGTTCTGATTTTATTCAACAGATGATGGAAAGCCAGTGAGTCAAATGGATAAACCTGCTCAGTATCTAGTGAGGGAAGCATTCTACTCTTCAAGCTCCCAACCTTCTCGCAACCTTGCCAAGTCTTTGGAGCTTGCTCAGAGCTCGTCTCATGCCAATGTCTCTTCACATTGTAAGTGTCTGCAATGATTTTTTACTTTTGATTTCATTGTTTGAATTTTCTTGTTGGATCTCCTTTGACATGTGTTTTCCAAAAAACTCCTGAGAGATGAATTCTTTTAGAGCCAACATAGTTCTTTCTAAATTAGACTTCAGACTTGTCTTTCTGGATCTCTGACATTGTCGTTTTACCTGCAGTGTGATGTTTCAGTCAACTTCTTAATAAACTACCTTCAAAGACTCTTCCTTGCTCTGTTTATTATAGTCTTTATTACATGCTTAGAGACATTTGTTAGGTTTTTTCTTTCATTTGTTTTAAAAATATTAAAAATATCATGAAAATATTTTTACTGTGAATTTGAAATCAGTGTCTTTATTTTACTTTTTAAAATGTAGAACTAACAGTGAACAAAAAATTAGCAACTGTTTTGGGAACATGATAGTTAAGAGTGTTACTGTACAAGGGTGCCAAGTTAAAAAAATATTTAAAGGATTTGGATTAAAAAAAAAAAAAAATGGATCGTGGCCTTTATAGCAGTTGTATCCAGTTTTACTTGTGTTTTTATTTCTTATTTTGTTCATATTAATAACTCGATATCTGTGTCCCTTCCCCCCAGCCTACCTCAGGAGCAGCCAAAGAGCTCAAGGTAGCCTTGCCAGTGCAGTTCGGGGTGAATCCCCCCTGTTGTCTCCTGGTGGCCGACTGATGAAATCACTGATGGCGTCTCCATCACCAGACCGCAAAGCAAAGCACACGTACCGGAGCCCCTCAACTCCAGTACGCCGCTCACCCAGAAAATCAGTGAAAAAACTTGACTTCAAGGACTGCGCAGGGGACGTCAGGAGGACCCCTGGGGCTTCCTCATCCTCTTTAGACGCTCATTTAATTTTTGATGGTGAAAACGCCACAGACAGTAACCTCTTTAAAAGTCCTGAGAAGCGGAAGTACGTACCACAGTCTCCTTTTAGAACACCTGAAAAGTCTAAATCGCCGTTTAGTCACGTGTCCATGGGTGCAGCGTCTTGCCCTCCTGCGCAGTCCACTCCTCCTAAGAGACCCAGGCAAAATTTGCTTTCTCAGGAGCTTAACTTTAAAAATGTTTTGTCTGCTCAGAATGGTAATGGAGGCACACCGTTAACTGCTTGTGACCCAGCCCATTCAACTGGTAGTGAGACCCCAAAAAGAAAATCCCACAGTTCAAGACTCTCAGGTGGAGATCCAAATGTGAGTGCAGAGTCTCCTACTAAGGCTGTTTTGTTGTCTTCGCCTGACTGGGCTTCTAGATTTGGCTCTAATATGGTTCTGCGTAGTCCGGCAAAACGATTGCAGCTGATGTCTGATTCTGCCAAAGGAGTCATACACCACTGCTCAGAAGGTGAGAGTCCGAGGAGATTGTCAAATCCTTCTGAAAAGATTAGAGGTTCCCATGGATCATCACCGAGGAAGGAAAGAAGAGTTCTTCATTCGAAAGACCGCAGTTTCGTAGGGGAAGTAGATGACCCTCACATTCCTACTTCAACCCCAGAGAAATTGTCTAAGTTGCAGACAAGACACTTATCCACTCCAAGCAAAGTGAAATTCTCTAACCGTGGGTTTATATCTCCTCCCACTGGCAGTGGTTATCCACCCTCTGCTGAAAAGTCCACACCAGGGAAATCCATTTTAAAATCTCCTGGATTGAAGCTGAAACAAGGGAGGAGGGTAGAGCTTGTCTCTTTGGGCTCATCCAGTTCTGGAAAACATAGCAACTTCATGGAAAAATTGAATGCATCAACTGTTGACAGCTCTATACTTGGGAACTCGGTTCAGAAGAGCATCACTCAAGACAATGTTGCCAATACCACAGATCATGGTGTGTCTTCAACACATTTGTCTGCTAGCTCTCAGAGTTTTGATGTCGCTTCGTCAAAGAGTTCGCGTAGTCTCAGCAAGTCAACACTGCGCAGGCAGTCTTCATCTGATGACGACAGTTCAGACCTTTTCAATACTAGTGCTCAGGAAAGTGCCACCATCAAAATTAGGACGCCTTCACCAGCGTCCAAGACAAAAACTCCTGACTCCATCAACAAATGGATGAGGAGGAAAAGGCTTTCAGGTTCAAAACATAGCTCAAGTTCTTCCTCTGGCCCTAGCTCTTCACAGTCTTCATCATCTAGTACCGAGGAAAAAGTCAAGTCTTCGAACAAAGGCAACATTGAACAAAAGTCTGTCCCAGAGCTTACAGAACCACAGTCACGAAAAAGGAATCGTCCACAACTTGAGAACGAAATAGTCTCAGAGTCACCAAGAAAAAGAGTCAGGAGGATTTTGAATCCTAAAGATGAAGAGAACTCCAAAGAAAATGCTTTTGTTGAAAGAAAGGGCACTAGTGATTTTGATCCCCTTTTCAAAGTAGACATTATTTCAAATGATGGAGATAATGATGTATTCCCAGTGGGTAAACAGATGGCTAGTGATGTGTCTTTGAGTCGTCAACCGTCTCTGATTTCAAAGCCGAGTGCAGACACAGCGCTTTCATTTTTTCACCAGCCTCTGTACTCCCCTATTGGCACTTCCTCCTGCGAGTGGTATGAAGGGGGCAGTCAAGGTTTTCCTGTTTCTCACACAGAGACAGATAAGAAGAAAGCAGACAGTTGCGCTGACAAAGAAGTCTCCAAAGACATACATGAAGGTGGGGAAAATGTTGCTGGCCCTAGTGGAAGGAGTCCAGGGTCAGTGACTGAGTCAGTGGTGTGTGATAAAGCATCTCAACAAATGCCAAAAAAAGCTTCTGGTCATTCAAACTCCAGTGGTTCGCCAATCCGTTCCTCTTTCAGCACATCTCCCTCTGACAAAAAACAGTACTCCCCATCTTTGTCTGCCTCTGGCCTGCTGCATCTGATTAAATCTCCTCTTCTCTCAGACAGGGAAGTCAGATCAAAACAAGTTAACACCCGTGCAAAGTCAAGAAAACACTTGGATTTAAACTGATTTCTCCTTCTAAATCATGAGCTGATTCTTGGAATCATTAGGCTTGGGTTCAGTGACTTGGGTGCAAACTTCTTTAGTTCTGAAGTGCTTGATATTGAAATTGTGTTTTGTGTTAATAATTTAAATGCATTTATCATTGTAATTTTAAGCATCCCAAAGAGGGTTTAGTCTGCATGAACATTTTTGTTTTGCTGTCTTTGACAGTGACAGGCATAAAAAAAAGTTTCTTGTCATGATCTTGAAGTGAACAATCATTCTTAAAATAAGAACAATCCATGAAGTAGGAGGCACTTTTTCATGAAAGTCCATGAGACTTTTATTTATTCAAAAATGTTAAGCTTTAGGTTTCATGATTCAAGAGATAATGACATTTAATTTGGTATAATAGTCCATCTTTACCATTGAAAATTTTGAAGGCTCACATGATTTAAAAAAAAGTAAACTGTAGCTGTTTTTGTTATCGATCCAGAAAAAGTAAACCGTAAAAAAGTGTTCAGATATTGTTAAACACCTGAGAAGATTTTGATCTCATAAATATTTGGATTATTTTATTTGTTTTCATTACCTGGATATTATAAGGGAGGATAAAGATTGAAATGGAAGTTTTTTCTGGCATATAGTGAATTTTGGAATTGAACTTGTAATATCTTAAGATGTAAACATTTTCAAAATACCTTCTGTGTGGAGTAGGTTTGGGAGTGCATCTGAAGTTATTCTGGAGATGTTTGAAAACAGAACAATTTCTTTAAAATAGAGACACATGAGCCTGGGGATCCTGTTTTAGGAACTATGTTTGTGACAGACACGTATTCATGGTTTAATTAAATGATTATGTTCTTTTTTTAAAGTGGTTCATTGCTCTCAGATTGATTTCAGTTAAAAAGGCAGCAAATTTTAGTGCGATTTTGTTACATTCATTCCTGTGATCAATAATTATTGTAGCGTCATGTCCATTCTTTGTCAGTGTCACTTTGGAAAAAAGCTTTAACTATTTCCTGATTACAATACCAGACCTGCCAAGTACTCAGAGGAGCCCTCTGATTTTTTGTGTGCCTGAGGTGAGAAAGAACCTGGATCGGATTTCCTTCTAGAATTTCATTTCCATCAGTCATACTGTACACAACATGTTGTAAATAACAGGGGAAAAAAATACAAAGGTTCATTTGGGTTTATCTGCTATATTTGTTGACTTATTGTAAATGACATGTATATATACACATTTTTTTAATGTGCATTTATAATACACATTTAATTTGCCACGATGGATTTGTAATTTATTGTGATTCTATTAGGGTTGTGGAGAAAATGATTTTTTTCCTCAATCTCCTGATTTTCAGGGAGGATTCGGAGGAAAATACCTATTTTTGGTCATGGAGGGATTTGGCAGGTCTGCAATATGTCTGTGTGGGTCATCATCACTATTTCTCTCATGCTAGTTTTTTTTTTTTTTTACCATTATGAATAACTGCCAACTTTCCATGATCTTTCTTCCCTCTTTTCAGAAGGTTAATATTTAATTGTAGATGAAAGAGAGCTTAGACTTCATTTGGTGTGCAGAGGTACAATTTCATATTTCCAGAAATTTTCAGGAACCTGAAGTGTTCCAGATTTTTCTCTTTCTTGTATGGCAGGCTGTGATTATAATGCCCTCGTGTTTTATTTCTTATTTCGATTTTGATCAGTTCAGGTGGCTCAAGAAATCCTACCATGTTTAGGTGGCATTCCTCTATATCTGTCCCTCACAGAATTTTATTTTTTCAAGGTCACGACACTTTTTGCTTTCTAAGTTGTCTATACGTGTGGTCAATGTAAGTTGTGATCTAAGTGACTTTGGAAAGATGATGGCAGACAAGCAGTTTTAGATTTTTAATAATTTATTCCAATGATTTTAATGTGTATAGGTCGGTTAAGTCAAATGCAATATAAATAGCTAAATTACAAAAAGCCAATTTTATAGGACTTTCTGAGTCTGTTACGTTTTATGTAATCGATTTGAGAGCTGTTTGATTTTGTTTATTTTGGTTTGACTTTGAGGGAAAATATATTTTCAAACTTGTTAAGCTGTAAAACTGCTTTCGAACTAGAGTAGAGTCGGGTGACTTTGCCAGTCTCAGTTAGCTCGCGACGAAAAAAGCCTACAACCCCTTTATGCTCAACGTACATGACCCCTGTTTCGTCTGCAACTTTTCGTAGCCAATGAAAATGCAGATAGTCCACTGATAAGTTTGCTTGCTAGTTGTACTTCAGCTGCTTCGTTTTTTTTTCAAGTGGATGTGGTGATGGGGAACTTTGCCACCCTATTGGGGAAATTCGCCAGTCCTTGAAGGGAATTTCGCCATACTGGGAGACCATCTTATTTCGTTCTATATAGATTATTAAACACATGTAAAAACTGATCTTTCGTTAAAGGGAAACCTGCATTTGCAGCTGCAATCACTTTGTAAACAATTTTATTTCTTTTCTTCCCAGCCCTCATTCCAAAAGTAGATGAACCAGAGACGTGGTCGGCAAGAGTTTTTCTGGGAACACTAAATTCTCGGGCTGCCCCAGAGCAGCTTTATCCATCTTAAACAGCTTCAACAGCTTTCTCCCAATCCCTTTATAAAGTTTAATTATACTTGTTATTGATTCCCTTGCTTGTTTTCCCCCTAATAAAAGTGGTAAATGTAAGTATAACAACAAATAGAAGATCAATAGACCTGCGTGGCGAAGTTCCCTGACAATCGAGACGAATTTCTCCGACAAGGTGCAGATCTGTACAAACACAATTTTTTAACAGTAAAAGGGCACACAATGTATACAACCGACAATAAAATTCAGCAAATATAATATTTTAATCAATAAAGCAGTTTTAACACAATTTGAGTAAAAAGTTATGTACAGCAACGGCAGTAAGCAGTAGACACAGAAAGATAAAAATAGCGCAGGCACAGCAATGATAGGGCGAGAGAGGAGGAAAGGGAAGCTTAACGGGAAGACATATGCTTAAAACACCGCGATTATTCTTTGTCATAACATTTTTCTGATTGGTTGATCAATTGACAAAGAATTGTTTCTGGTCTCAAGTAACTTGACACTAAAACTCTTCCTTGGTGGGTATATCGGATTATTCCCTTTCTAAATTGGTAGGGGGTACAGGTGGCGAATTTCCCCTCCTGGCCAAGTTACCCGACTCGACTTTAACCTTTTATTTTTTTGCGGCCAACCCAATAAAGTGTACAATTTCTTTGGAACATGCTATGTCCAAACCACTAATTTTAGAACACTAATGGCATTACAACATTCTCTTTATATAATACTTTCATTTTAAAAGCTTCTATAAATATGTGTCTTGTGTCTGCTGTTTTCTTTTTTTCAGCTGTATGCTTGTACTGTAAGTCTGCCGTTGTATCATAGTACATGTTTTTGACGTGGTTTTAAATGTTGTGTTATTGTCAGTTCATAGATTTGTTGCATCATGTACCTGAAGACTTTATTAGTGTGCCATATCAATTTGTTAAACGTTATCATGAATTTGTCAAGCAGTGAAAATCATTGCCGGTACCTAATCCTATCGCCAATCTTTTAAAAGCATTTTGTGTTGGTTTCATCCTGTATTTTGTCAGTTTTGTTAAAATTTTACTGCTTCAACCCTTTTACTTTGGATGTATTTTTAGTGTATGTACAGAAGTTATGAAGAGATAAATGATTTTATCTCAATATTAAATATATGTATTTATGAACAGCAGAGCCAGTTGTCCTTTTTCATGTTTGTATTATTTTGTTTTGGGATTGGAGATAGGCCTATATGAAATTTTTTTTTTTTTCAGTATGCATCAAATGCCCTTAAGCAAATAAACTTTTGCTCCCCTTTCGACCAGTGTGCTCTAATGTCATTTTGATTCCTGTCCTTCATTTTTTCCTCTACGGCTGATTTAAAATACGGGATGATTGTGTCTGAAGCGGTGACACTGGCGTCTTTGCTTTACTTTCTGAATATCTGATTGTCTTGTTTTAAAGTAATTGCCTTTCTGCTTAGCCTGCCCTGCTTGTGACATGGAAGCTATTCAGGTCATCTGTGTGTGTCATCTTTGAAAAATTACTAACAGATCAGGCTTGTCAATGGCCAGCTTTTAAAATTTAAAATATGTTCTCATGTAATGGGTAGAATCATGTCTGCTGCAGTGTAAATTGAGTGAGCTAAAGGTCACTTTTACACGAGACTAAAAAGTAAATACAGACTGAAGTGTCTTTCAGTTATTCCCAAAGGGGGGATATGAACATGTTCTTATGCACAGTAGAATTGTAAATGGGCTCATTCATCACTGTCATGCTCATAGCTGTGCCTGAACTGCATTCAGGGAACTAGAAGAACTGCTGCTTTTTCTTTAGTAATCCTTACTATCGTCATTTTGCCTCTACTTCTTTTGTATGTTTGTCACTCTCTTGTGACCCGCTATTTCCGGGGTGCCTTGATAGTCGAAGCGGACTTTGTGCTGTTGAAGCTAGAGAGGTGCGCAGAGTAAGCCGGATTCCCTATTTGGACTTCTCTGTTGACATCCACCCCTTGGTGCTCATATGACCTTCTGCAGTTGCGAGCGTAGTAAAAACTTTATAAAAAGTAAACTTAAAGAGTTTTCTTAAAATTTTCTGGCTTCTTAAGTTGTCTCAGAACAGGTAGATTATATCTAGCTTCGAAAAGCAAATTTCTTTTTACTATGAAATCGAAAGGTAACTTTATCTGTATCTTGTATTGTTTATGCCAAGGGTGTAGTGTAACGATACACTGTAACTGTGCTGTAAATAAAGTTCAGTTTATTTAAATTTTACACAGAAATGCCCTTTGAGTTACATGTGTATCTCATCAGGACATTGACAGATCTAGGTACATTGAGTCATTGAGGCAAAAAATCCATAAGCACTTGTTCTTTTCATGTAAGATTTATTAATTATTATTGATTCATTAAAATGGCTGTGTTGCAATGTTTGTAGTAATTTTTTAAATGAGAATACACCGGGAAGAGTCCTCTTAAGGGAATACTAAGTCTCGTTTGTTTTTATTTTGAATAGTCTACATGTTAATGTTATTTTTGTTTGACTTTTTGACATTTTCATAAAGTGTTCAAGCTCCCTTATGATTCATTATAAATTGTAAGCTTTCTTTATACTTGCAGTGTTTTGTTCTGTTATTCACTTGCTCAACTAATAAGACTATGCTGGTTTTCATTTGGACCCTCAATACGAAAACTCCATTGTGCATTCAAACAAATAGCTATCTAAGGGATAATAACTTAATGACGACACAAAGAAATAATGAAAAGCTTGAAATATGATGATTTTTTTTCCTGTAGGGTAACAGGTAATAACAAACAATATAATGACACCAGACTGCATTATCAATTTTGAAATTGTTTAATGATTTAAAAAAGAACCTCAAAATTTCAAAACATCACACTTGGTTTATCCGTTTCATCCATATCACATTATAGCTCATTTATCATCTAAACTCTTTTTAATCTTACACTCTGTCCTTGCACACAAAAAAAAATCACAGAACAATGTGTAAACAAGAAACAGTCCTGTTTGGTAGGAAGAAATCGAATCTTGACAATTTCTTTACATTTTACACTCGTAATTATACATCAGTCCCCGGTGGTTTGTTGCGTTTTGATTCCATGGCTCATGGGAATGGACAGCGTCGATGACATAATGACATAATGAAATGTGTTGATACGGTGGGATCTGCAAGAACAAGCAGCACACATTCATTGTCAAAATAACTTGAGGAACTCATGTATACACCATCCAAGAGCCTCAAATTGGAGTTTCATGAGGTTTATTCTGAAATTGTTAGCCCCATTGTTCACTTTGTGTCCAGTAAAAACCTGAACGAACTTTATACAATTATTACAATTAGTCTGATAAAGAGTTCCAACGAAATGAAGCACATGGATACAATGTGTTTGGGAAAATCACAAATTGTGTTCATCATCAATATCAAATTTCATCTGAGAGAAAAAAACCAACTGATTTGTTTGTAGTGTTCTGCTTGGCAACTACAAAATAGGGCAGAAATCAATTTGAATACATGCCGGCAGAACAAAGCCATTTATGAAAATAATTAAAGTTTGTGCTTTAATGCTACATAAATGGTGTGTGAACCAGAAATCTTTGGATTTACACAGATAACCATTTCCAGCGGCACATAGTCAAATGGTCAAATATATTATAACTTTTGTAAGAAAGCCATAAAGCTGTAGGCTGTTTTAAAAAAGATGAAGAAAACTACTGTAGGGCATAAGGAGATCACTGCCAACAGTTTGTTCAGCTGTGACTGACTTGAGTATTGTCAAAGAAGTATTTTTTTCCTGTTTATAATGAAATAACCACCATGAAGCATGTTTTTACTGTGACTAATAACAAAAATGAAATTTAATGAATGCATGAATAATATTAATTAGGCTAATGGCATTTGAAGGATCTATCACCTCCTGTTGAATCAGTGATTGTCTCCTGTGAAGGACTGCTTTGATACTGCAAAATCCTACCCTGTGAATACGCTGCCAATATGAATAATATTCTGACTTCAGCAGCTAATTTTACTGTTGGCCACACTAGGCATGAGGTTGAGAGGGATGATACAATTTTACTTCTAAACATTTTATCAGAGAAGGGAGAAAGCAAGACCTGTATTGACTTTATCATATGCATAGAACATTCCCAATACAGTAGAAAACGGCTATAGCGGGACTTTTGGTTCCAGAAGAAAAATCCTGCTGTAGGCGATTTCCGGATAAAGAATGCAAAGGGGAATTACAGAAATTGTTCTAAAAATCCATATGATCACCTCCCTTCCGTACTATATCAATTCAGTTTGCGCTTTAGATTAGTCTTCCTTTTCTTGTGAACTTCGTTGATTATGTCGGCCTTTAATTCGAGTGAGAACAATTTCCTTTTGTATTAATTGTAGGAAGCCATCTTTTCCTCGGTCTTGTTGCTTGAGCTGTCTATCGTACCAGTGGGCCTACTGTAGAACTGGTGAAGTGAATGCGTGCGTATGCCTGAGCATCAACGATCGCAATTCAATGAATCAGGAATCACAAACTACACGCTCTCCTCTTCTTTTACTTTTTGGCCTAGTCTAGGCCTAGGGCTACAGCATATATACTCTCGTACTGAGCGTCTAAGCTACGGCACATCACTTTTGGAGTGGCTCACGTAACGCGTCTCTCCGCACCATTTCTCTCTGCCGCCTGTCCCACCTCACTCATCACTGGGTGGGTGGTTGGCGGGTGCACTGGTGTGGTTTGCTTCCTCTTTCCTATCAAACATCTATCGTCTTTATCTCCCCTTTTTCTTTTTTATGTTTGTTACTCTCTTGTAACACCTCTAATCTTCTGGCGCTCATATGACCTTATGCAGTTGCGAGTGCCGTAAAACCTACAAAAACTTAAAACTTAACTCATCACTGGACTGACTAATCACAGCACTGCACCGCTGACTGCCTGTTTGGAGCCCGCCTGCAGCCCCCCACCCGCAACCCCCTTCCTCCCAGTTAGAGTTCGCTTGATCTCTCAGTCTCCCGCTGTATCCGAGTTCGGCCTCTCCTTGCCCCGCAAAACCTGAGCACAGGTAATTGAGTTTACTTAGGAAAAAAATGGGGGTTCCAATTAGGTCCCGCTAAAGGGATGGTGCAGCTAAAGTCATGTTCTACTATATTTACATTACATTTACTTGTACCGTACTCAATGTTGCAGTGGCAGTGAGCTATTGATATCAATTTCCCTGGGAGAAGTGTTTAAGTGAATCAAATCTAAAGGAAAAAAAAAACGACCAGAGATGGAATTGTTAGTATCTCTTCCCCCCCTCAAAATGGGTTGAGCTGAACATTTATTTCTCACCAGGTCCTTAGCTAATATTATGCCATCACCATTTCTACATTTCTCTTCATACAGTAATTTGGGCAGTGTAAAGAAAGGCATGGGAAGTTGCAGATTGTCCTTTTGAGGTGTTGGCCAGAAGCTCACTTTGGCTTGAATGATGATAGAGGGAGCAAAAAGGTTTTTTTAAATATTAGGAAGTGATTCACTAAATACCTTCTCTAAAATAATGTACTGTTTTTCAAAGTTTAGATTTAGAGAAAAGAAAGGCTGTTGCAATCCTCTGGGAGCTTTTCTAAAACTTCTCATTACCATACTTTACCTAAAATCTTTAGTATCTTGTGATCTTATATGATAAATTAATTGTCATCAAAAGCAAGTTTCTAAGCAAATGTTGTAGAAAATGGAAAAGTCTATGATTAAAATCCGGATGAAAGTAGTAATGTGAAGAGTTGTTCCACATTACCACACATTTGGGCATGAATTATAATCAAAGTCAAAGTGATTATATACGTTTAAACTGAAGAACATCAATGTTCAGTGGTCTGTTTTTAAATATCTTTTGGCATCAGCACTGCAAAAATACCATGTTCCTCGTTTTGACGTAATCTGAAGCTCATAAAAGTTTGTTTAAATCAAAGTAAAAAAAATACATTTGATTAACAAATACAGTATACTACAGGGAGTTTTGTGATAATAAAAAAATTTTCTCCCTCAGATTATGAGACAAAATAGCAGTTCAAATAATATTTCTATTCCTAAACAACAGATTTCCTCAAAATTTTCAAATCATCTTGGAATACTGATCTTTAAATACCGGTATGCTTTCTAAAGAAAATGCTAAAAAGATCAAGTATTGCAGTATGATAATGATACATTTATGTGGTGTGCTTCAGACACAACTCTTGAAATTTGAAAATATCTATCACAGAAATAAGGTAAGCAGGAACCCATATTTTTCTTTGGTTCATTTTTACCTCATTCATCATGCTCATGATCAAAAAGCACACAAGTATACAACAGACCATAGAGAACACTGTTCATTAAACATGAAAAACATGATCATATAGAACAACAGTTAATATTAACTGATGGAGAAAGGGATTGTTGATCTTTTTTTCTTTACATTTAGTAATGTGTGATAACCAAACTTTCCCTTTTTTAAAGCCTAGTCAGCAGGCAATAACAATAAGAAAAAACACAATATGCTATTCCTTTAGTTCACGTTTTTAAGTCTTTCAGTCAGCTATAGGTCTGATCCAGTTTATGTGTCAGAAGCCTTGCACACATGCAGAAACCTTAGTTTTGCTTGACTACTTTGAGTACGCCTTCAAGTTAGTTTAGTGAGGGTGGTTTGGCTTTTCCATACACATTAAAACACTTTACAAATAATTATAACTCAGCAGGGTAATTTTGTAAAAAATATGGTAAATGTTGACTGGTAGTTTTGCTTAAAGGTGGCTGGTATTCTTGTTTGCTATTGGAAAGGAATAAGATGGACTTCACAAACATCTTATAGTGTCTGTGCTCAGAACAATGGTTCACTTTGAGGAGAATAACTATTACTAAGGGAAGCAAACCCATTTTTTTATAATGATCATAGAAATCTATCCATGGCATTTAAAAATGTAAATGATATTCACTTTATATTTTGGCTAAATAACAACTTTTTTGTTCGTGTTGACTTATTTTTGTTTTTATTAGAGACCCATTCAAATCTTGAAGGTCTCTAATTCTTAGTTATTAAACAAAACTGGGAGGAATAAAACAAGGCAAAGGTGAAGAAAAGGAGTAGCCTATTAAAAAGGTGGATTGAACTCCTCATTGAGAGCAATTTAAAGCATAGAATGTATTGCATAGATAGCCATACAACTGTTTCTTCTAATATTCAACGAAATTTCATATGACCCAAAAAAGTAGATCTAACTGTTGGCGAACAACTAGAGTGGAATATTTTAAACTACAATAGTTGTAAGTTAAACAAAATATGGATTAGTCAAACTTGAGAGTAAAATCTTTGCAGCCAGCATTCTATGAATGTCATTTTGGTTGAATGAAAATAGGTAGACAAAACCGATTTTAAAGGTACTGACGTTTTTAAATGTTCTACTTCAGTTGTTATGAATACAGTACACATCCTGGAAATACATGCTTTTTCGTCGATGGCCTAGTGGTTAGCCTCTCAGACTCGCAACCGTAAGGTCGTGTGTTCGAATTCCGCCAGCTGCCCGACGTGTCCTTGGGAAAGGTACTTTGCATGAATTTTCCTCTCTTCACCCAAGTGGAAATGGGTACCCGGCTATAGACAGCGAACGATCTTGTCAGTTTGATAGTGTTTGAGCGCGTGAAATCCGCAGGTTGTACTGTATGCTTCCGCGGAAGCCAAGAATGTTTCCGAGTGTTCTCAGAGGGTCTGCTTGGGTAATAATAGTTGTAAAGCGCATAGAGCATGCTCTTGAGCATGGATATGCGCTATATAAATGCAATTATTATTATTTATTATTATTATTTTCACTTCTACATTTTACACAGAAATGTGATCTCATTTGTTATTCTACAAAACATTAAATCAAGCTTTTGATTGTGCATGATACATATCAAATCATATCAGAAGTGAGTAAATTGTTGAATGCTTATCCCACTAATACTTCTCTGCATTTTTTGAGCAAGTCATCTACATATATATCATGAAATCATAGTGTGTGATGACAGTATTTAATGCATGAACTGGTATATTTAAGGACAGTGCATGTTCATGGCAAGTACGTTATTTAGTGCACACCAATCATACAAACAGAGCGTACAGAATTTAGAATTCGACCAATTGCATATATATTGTATTCTTCATCAGTCTCTAATACTATTACTATTGGCATTAGTTTCTTTTCTAAACATTTTTACTAGAGAGCTTAAGATTAGTTTGCAGCACAAATACTCATTATGATTACTATGAAAGCTTATACTTATTTATGTCTAGTTCTAGCTAAGGTTACTTTGTGAAGATATCTTTTCCATAAAGAAGCTCTACAAATGTAAAACGTAAAGAAATGAACTTTTCTTAACAGGGTTTCAAAACAAGAATTTTTTCTTGGGCAAGCAACTACATGAAATGAAAATGTCTACATGATACATTAATTCATTATTAGTCTGGCAGCAAGCAAAATGACTGTCCTCTCAAACTATGAACATGATCTGTACCTGAGACACAGCGTTTTGAACACTGTGTCTCATCGAAATAAAGAAGTAGGCCCTATACTGATCAAATCTAAATTTCAGGCATGAAAATAGAAAGCATCTACTGCAACATCAAGAAAATAGAGTGAAAAAAGTATAAGAATCATAAGAGGCACCGTAAGCCAAAACCATGGAAGAACAGAAAGGTAAAAAAATTCCTGAGGTCTTTTCTGCCTGCACATTTTTCCAAGAGAGCAGAGCACATACATGTACTCAGTTACTGTGGAATCCTATTTGACGAACTAACTCTTGTACTCTACTCAAACTCAAATCAATAAAATATCCCCTAAATTCTCTCCTTATTGCAATTGTCTAAATGTCCCCATTTTGTGAGGACTTAAACACATTGCAGGGGACTATCTATGCAGTTCCTCTCTGTATGTTAAACTGCAAGCTGCTACTTTCTCCAAATATTCTCATGCAATCGCAAAGTTCTGTGGTAACTAAGCAGCAATAAATGTGGTTCCCATTTAGATGTCATAAAGGACAAAAATAGTAGATGGGTACCACTCTTCCTCATCAGAATCAGAATCTTTACACGTCTACAACAAAAAAACCCATCTCTAGACTTGTAATAGCCTTCACTTCAGGGAGCGCTCCAGCACCCCCCCCACACACACACACACACACATTCACACTCACATACACACACGCACTTCCTCTCCTTCTTTTACTGTTGTCTTATGATGTGTTATGGCATGACGAGGTTGAAATAAACGTCCATCGGTGGGATGATGACCATGAAATGACCTGACTTTGGACGAGTGTTGATACACCCTGCTGTGGTAAATGAAGATGATCCACCATGCATTTTTGACAAGATCTGTGCATTTTCAAAGCTTTTCAAAAGACATGATATATACATTCACCTCTCGAAACCTTTCTGAAATTTCTCTTGTCCACACAACTCACAGTTTGCTTTGATACTTTGTTGTACTGACACACCCACTTCCATCAGAAAAAAGCGCTAACTAAGATCGAAATGCAGTAGTTCAGACTAAAGACAAGTGCCTTCATGCACACATCTTCTCACAAATTCAATGTACAAAAACATTTTCAGACTTTACGCTTGCTTCTGGTTCTCTGGTACTCCAATCAATCATACATTCTCATAATAAGTAACAAGAAGAGGACAAGTAAAGTATTTGCACAATGTAAAGCTTGCACTGTTGATAGATTCTCACACCTAAAAAAGGCGAACTGCAGTAAGTTTCCTGTAAAGCTTGCAACTGTTTGAGTCTTAACAAGATAATGGCTGTTTAGAGCATGGGCGACAAACAGCACCAGAGGCACTAGAACTTCGCCATTTGCATCATAAAATCACAAGTAAAATGTCTACTGGTAAGTATCTAGGCCCTTGGTGGCTGCTACGACAATAGGCATATTGTTGGTGAGCAAGGTTTTTCAGACTGCAAATTTACTTTCCGGCGTACGCTCTCTGAAAAAGAAAGAAGAGAAGGTTCAGGTTGAGTAAAATAAATGAAGAAACTCAGCAGATTTGTAGATGGTCCCAAGATCTTAACTGATTGAAAACTCATTGATTTTACCTAAAGATTATATCAAAATCCAAAGTTAAAGTGGTACAATGGATACATGCTCATTTAACTTCAGTCATTCTACTGGCTTGCCTTCTTTTTGTATTTGTGTTGTAAAATGCATACCATTTATGTTCACATAATCCATTGCTAATGCTTGCCAAAATAGGCCCGTGCGTCTTCTAATCAACATATAGTATAATCACCAGTCACCATTGTACAGTTTTTACAAGACGGAATGTCTGAGTAGCTTTTATAGAGACAAAAACAGTTTCATAAAGATTAAAGCAAGATGAACCCTGCCTCTATGCCCTTGCAAGAAACAGACCATACGAGTACAAATCAGTTGCATTGTGGGGTGAAACCAAAATTACTTGACCATCCCTAAGATATGTAACAGTTGAAAAAAAAGAAGCTCAACAAACTTTTACCCAATTCAGGAGTTTACCCAGAAGAGAGTACATTCAAACCTGCTCTAACTGCCACCGATAAAAAAAAGATACCTGTATAAATGACCACTCCCCCCCCCCCCCCCCCTGGCATTTTTTCTGCTATAATGACACCGTCCAAGCTGCCCACATGTCTAAAACCTCCACTTTTCTCCTGGACAGAGGGTGGCCGTCTTGGAAAGTTTTGACTGTACATGAATGCCACATAGAAGTTGGCAACATCCCTGCATTTCTCAGGCCAGGCCATCAGCTGTTTTCCTTATTAAATATTTTTTCACAAGCGTAAAAAGAAGTGAAAATAACATTTGTATTATCCGAGTGTTTTTTCTGAGACAGCTAAGACATACAGACAAGTTCTTAGTTTTCTTTTTTTCTCCCTTTAAAAACTATTCACTTACCTGCCAACTGTTTCCTTTCTATGGCCGTTAAAGCTTCAAAGAGAAGCTTCAGTACATTTTCATCTTTCCGAATACCATGCAACCAAATGTTCAACAAACGAAAACTGTGCTCTTTATAGCTTGTTGTCCCTGAGAATCAAACAAAATCCATGTCAGTTTTTCATCTGCAGTGGGGTTAACACATGAATACTTAATGACAACGGTTTAGTCCATTGAGACTTGGAGTACTTTAGAACAAAATGTTTTCTCACAATTAATTAAGTAGCAGTCAACTTGTGGGCAAAGTCAAAATGTTCAGTCTTGACAACATTATACTTGTAGTCTTTTGTCTCTGAATGTCTGAAGACCAAAGTTTTTAATGGGTGTGCAACCTATTTTCTCATCAATTACTATAAGTTATACCAATTATCCAATAAAATGAACACATCCGTACTTCATGTTCACTGCATTAAGCAGCCAATTCTAAGGCAATTTGACAGTAAAAAAGCTGTTTCCAAAAATGTAGTATGAACCTTATCATATTCTGACTTCAACAGATGCACGTTAGAGTCTGCTTAAAAAACTCCCAGACTTAACTCATTAAGGACTTAATTTTTTTTCAGCAGTTGAAACCATTTGGGCATTATTAATTTGTAACCGACAGTACCCTGCAAATCAGTTAGAGGATATGGAAATGCAGATGATGTAGTAAAAATTGTAGTAGCAGTAATATATCATTGGAAAGGTATCTGAATGTTGATGTTCACTGATGTCACAAAAGCAATAGAATAGAAATTAGGAAACATTGTATCCTGTGATTATTTCAGTAAGCCGTGATCCTGTTCAAATTGTCAGTACATTCGAATTTTCATTCAGAAACTGAACAGATGTAGGCAAAAGTTTACAATACTCCGCAAACATGTAAGCCTACCTGTATACTCTTGCTCTATTGCTCTCACATGTTCTGGTGTAAATTGCCAGTGGTAAGCTAATTTTTTCCAGTCAGTTGGTTTTAATTGTTTTGTTGCCAATTTCCACAACACATCTTTCATCTGTGGTGCATTAGGGTGCTGGGCTTTTCGTAAGTAGGAATCCGGGTCCACATACCCCACATCTTTATCATGATAGTCCTGAAAAGAAGGATTATACCAATTGTACATGCACAGATAAGAAGGAAGGTATAGTAATTTAAACAGCTATGATCATGGCCCTCCGCAACAAATTGCACCCTAGGCAAAGCCAAAGGAATAAAGCTTGGAATGTTGGACATGAAAGATACATGACGTTACTCTTAAACCGAAATCCCATCCCCATCCCCTGTAAGAACAAACAAATCCCCCCAATAAATCTACAACCCCCCCCCCCCAAAAAAAAAATAGTTATAGGCTATTCCTGAAGGTAATTTTCTTTTCATAAAAAGAACTACAATGAAGCAGAAGTGCTTCAAACCTTTTCAACTTCTTTCCCATTGAGCAAGTGCTCTGGTTTTATTCCTTTTAGGGAATGACTGAAAGGCCTCCCATAAAGCAAGAAAGCTGAATTCCCTGGATGTCTGTATTCTTTTATTCTATGCCACCCCCTTTTTTTTCTAAGTTTACCTGGAGGGTAGTATTGGCCCTGTTTGTGAAAGGAGGCCTGAAACTTCTAATTTCCTTTTCCACTTCCAAAGGTATCTAAAGAAAGGTTATTCTTAGGAAAGTGTCAAGATGTTTGGAATCAAGAAAAGTACAGAAGTAGTCAGGAAAGATGAACAGATTCAATATATATTTAAATATGAGAAAGATGACAAGCATGTTAGTTATGTTCTTAGCATGTATGAATACTCTGTTTACCTTCTGTTCGTTGAAGATTGCTGATATTTTTTTGAGTGACTATTTGACAGAATGAGCATGGAGAAGACAAACTACAGAAAGAGAGAGAGAGAGAGAGAGAGAGAGAGAGAGAGAGAGAGAGAGAGAGAGA